CCCTCCCCCTCAGATGAGCCCAGACGCTCTGCGGCTCTTGTTGTCTGTAAAATATTAAATTTGTTCCCATTTTCTTCCTGAAAGTAGGGGGGATGAAAGCCACCCCACCTTAATAAGTGTGGGGGGATATACCCCCATCCCCCCGCTATCTATGCCCCTGTCAGATAAACTCAAATTTGACTTTTGATATGCATACAAATATTCATAATCATAATCTTTGTTAGCAGTACTCTACAGGCGCCGCGGCTCAATTTGTTACGCTCGACAGTGGCCAATGCAGGTTTTCGAGGAGGGTGGTAAGAAACAGGCGGGGGTATGCGGGTCCTCCCCCAGAAAATTTTGAATCCCCCATTTTCCTCCTGAAAGTAGGGGGGATGATTGTACACGCCATCCCCCCACGTCAATAAGTGGGGGGATGCATCCCCCCATCCCCCCGCTATCTACGCCCCTGCCTGTCATGTAAACATTGAACAAAACAAGTCATGGAAACAGCAGTCACTTGCATGCGCACACGCGGTGAGGCGTGCGACCGATCGCTTGCGGTTGACGAGCAACCAAAAATCGCAGGTCTACGCTAGGCTTAACTTACCCATCATTAGACATATTGCCGTGTTCAGACCTTGTATGGGTGCCGTGGCAGACACATCAACCCCCAAAGTCTCCGTTATACTGATCATGTAGATTCCAAAGGACCTCTGCTGTCCCCAGGTGAGGGCCATGATCACTGAGCAGCCTAGAACCACCATCCAGCCCCAGCCGCCATCAGGACGGTGCTGGTGATCCGACCCTTCTTCTATCTCAGCCATGGTTCCAGTTTCTATCGTTGCAGACTTCTTCCTTAATTGAGTTTTCGCTCTGAAAAAGTCGTGGTGATTTTAATTATCGTTCAGTAATGTCGTGGGAAATAACGTGCAGTAACCCCAGTTATTAACGGTTTAATTGTTATGGAACATCATGGACGTCTGTTATACGCCTTCCCATAGCGGCTATTTATCGTGTTGGGTAATCAATTACGGAATGTTGCATTCCAGAAGAATGGTCATATATAACTAGGAATTCTAAATCATGAGTCGTGAAGTATTTTGGATCAGCGTTGATTACTATCGTTGATTTGCTTTCAATACACATGGATCTGTATTGGTTCATATAGACTATGGATAGACTATGGCTTCTAACTGATCAGTGCTTGTCGTGCAATGAGCGTGAAAACAAATCTGTCATTGCTACAACTAGTTAAAACATACCTAGCGTGTCAATGCGATGTTGCCTTTCGACTCACTCCATGTGCACTTCACCCACACCGCAACTACGATTGCATAGCGAGGCAGGCATGGATGAGAACAGGATGTGAGAGAAGCCTCTAGACCCGCGCGTTGGTGTACGTATATCCGACGTTTTCAAACCTCATCACTGATGTCGGCATTCTAATCGCCGCCGGTGTAAAATAAAATAGTGTGATAAACCGCTTGACGTATTACAGTTTGTTTGCTTCCCCTGCGTGGATGGTCCGATTTGTAGCAATACTGTGTACCGATGTTGTAGATTGACAGCGACACTTGAGATTGCGACTGTATTGTCGCCCGCTCGTAGATGGTCTCTGTATGTAATGCAAGGAATGCGATAGAAGGTGAGTAGTGCCAGCACTCGATGCTCATGTAGAGTGACTGGATGCTAGGCGACCACTAGGAGCGTGGCCTTGACTAATGCACGTTAATACTGCGCATAATCACCGGTGCAGCAGTCCTTTACTGTTGATATGCGGTTTCGCACGTATCACTAGGATAATGTAAAAGAGCTGGTGATAAGGATTAATAGGGCTTTAGATGGGATATCTCACCCGAGTTATAGATATCCCGTCTCATACGAGCGTGGGTGTCACTTTTCCACGGGCGTAGATTGAGGGCACGTGATCACGTCTTTTGACGTCACATTTCCCTATATTATTTTATTATTATATTATTATACCCTTATTTTCCTAACCCTAACCCTAACCCTAATCCTAACCATAACCCTAACCCTAATAAAACGAAATAAAACGAAATTAGCCAAAAATAATAATTAGCCAATCAGAGCCGAGCACCCGCAATCTACGCCCGTCGGAAAGTTATTCCCTACGAGCGTAGCGAGTATGAGACGTGGTTATCTATAATGAGGGTGAGATATTTACCTCTGCCAAGGGGTTGGCAGGAGGTTATGTTTTCACCGGCGTGTGTTTGTTCGTTTGTGGGTTTGTGGGTTTGTTTGTGTACAGCCTAACTGAAAAAGTTATGGACGGATTGTCATAAAATTTTCAGGATAGGGTGTCAGAGATGGGGTAACTTAGAATTGATGAGATTTTGGTGGTGATCCGGATCCAATTAATTAATTAATTAATTAATTAATAACATTTTCAGGATAGGTCACAAATGGGGTAACTTAGAATTGATTAATAATGTTTGATTTGACCTAATAACTTCACTTCAACACCGTCCAATACACCGCTGCAACACATAGCGCGCACGCCATTGTGCATGCACAATTACACAGTGATATAGAGTGTGTATCACTGTATCACTCTATATCACTCTATATCACTGTATCACTGTATCACTCTACATCACTGTGTAATTGTGCATGCACAATGGCGTGCGCGCTATGTGTTGCAGCGGTGTATTGGACGGTGTTGAAGTGAAGTTATTAGGTCGAATCAAACATTAAGACTATTACTGGTACTGGTACTGGTAGGTCTAGTAGTAGTACTGACAAGTTGTATTTATATTAACCATCATTTTATTATTGAAACGGTCCAAGTGCCTGTGCGTGTGCCTGTGAGAGTGCGTGCGTCCGTGCGCGCGCGCGCGCGCGCGTGTGTGTGTGTGTGTGTGTGTGTGTGTGTGTGTGTGCGTGCGTGCGCGTGCGTGCGCGCGCGCGTGTGTGTGTGTTGTGTGCGTGTATGTGCGTGCGCGTGCGCGTGCGCGTGCGCGTGCGTGCGTGCGTGCGTGCATGTGCCTGCCATTTAGAGACATGCGTACCATTTATGATTCCGTACGTGACATAGAGATGAATCAGGTTGGTGGCGAAAAAGCCCAGCAGTATTCCTGCTCCACAGAGTATTCCACCCACAAGTCCAACAGGTCTGTGTCCGAACTTCTTACACATGACACTTGTAGGCGGGCCTGCAGTAACACACCGATATGTCGTATTATATATATATATATATATAAATATATATATGTATATATATATATATATATATAAGCAATACACCAATATAATATATACGGTATACAGTTTGTTATGTTTAAATGGTTTAATATAGTTATTTAGCATTACTACGTGCTATTGATACAATATAAGCATAATATCAAGAATATTGGACCAATATGTCATTATTGGAGTATATTTGTAGTATTAACATTTTTTGGGAGGCTTTACGTTTAGGTATTCTTCTCCTAGATGTTTTTTGTCTTTTATTGTGAAAGCATCGTTAGAATTATTTTCTGGTATGTGAATAATATTGAAATCGACGTCAGGAATGTACGAGGTTTCGTAGATTGATGCTTTTTAAAGCAGGCATGACTGTTCATGACTTCAGCTGATTCTAAATGTGCAAGACCGGAAGGTTTACACAGAATGTGAGAATGAAGGCATTAAAAATATGTTTATGAAAAGAAATTATAGAAAACGTTTGTTTTAGTTTATTATTGGTGCTAGCAGCCGACAGTGTTAAAATGAGATTAACCGCGTAAAGCCTAGCGCAGACTTGCGACTTTTTCATGCAACTCGGCAGCGATTCTAGAATCGCAGTCGAAATTGCTGTGAAATCGCTACGTCTGCGGGAACGTGCAACTGCAACTCGTAGTGATTCTGGTCGCTTGCAACGAGTTGCAAGAAATCAAACTGATTTGATTTTCAGCAACTCGTCGCTTCCAATCGCTCCGAAATCGCATGTGTGCGGGTAGACATCGACTTGCAATGATTAAAAATCCTCGTCCGACCAATCAGCGAACATCATCTCATCACGTGAAATAATCCTGCCTTAAATATATAAAGGCCTGCGTGTGAAGAGTTATATGTAGAATATATAATTCATTATTTAGTTAAAATTTATAATACTATATAATTATTTCTTATTCATCATAATAATATCATATATAAGGCATACTAATATATTGTCTCATGGGTCAATTTTCTACCACATGATTGAATGTTTTTGGGTGAGTTATGGCAAATCGATTTTTAGCTCACCTTGACATCGTCAAGATGAGCTATTGCCATGGGGCGTTGTCCGTCGTACGTCCGTCCGTCCGTCCGTCCGTCAACATTTAGCTACGGTCAGCGATAACTCAAGAACCGTTGTTACTCCTATGGGAGAGGGTTGAACGTCCTATTTTGAAGCACGCCAGTCGACCTACTTTCGAGCCATGTCCACTTTTTGGCAAAAATGGAAATGGCAATAAGTCAGTTCAGGTTCAATGGATTATGCTCATTTTTGGTATGTGAATGAATAAGGACTGGCTCCAAAAGATATCACACGGGTTTTGATATTTTTTTTAAATTATGCAAATTAGGTAGATTTTGGCAATTTTACTATGCATTTCAGTGTCTGCCTACGGTCAACGATAACTCAAGAACCGTTTGACCCACGTTTCAAATTGCATACAGTTGTTACTCTTACTAGCTGAAACCCGCGCTACGCGCGGGCTTAGTGACTGTGATGCATGTGTTACCAGTGCAGTAGTGTTATCTGTAAGGTGTTATATGGAGAGTTTAGTTGTTGCACATGTTTGTTTTTTTATGGTTGAGAAGTCAATACAAATACATGTGCAATCATGCTTACACGTAACACATTAACCATTTGTTTGGCAAGTACACAGTGAAATGCACACACCCACACAGAAACGTTTTATTGTATGCTATGTACTGGTTGATGATACGGACTCCAAAGTTAGAATATAGATAGATGTGAATGGGTATAACGTAAACGTAATATTACGTGCTTCGCATGTTTGCACTGTGTGCGGACCAGGTAATATTGCGTGGTTGTGATCGCTTATTTCTACGCATGTTTGCACTCTGTGCGGACGAAATCTGCTCTGATGAAATTCAACTTGTACATCTTATATGGGAAACTATGGCCAAATAGCTAGGCCCCTACTGATTATTTAACTTCATTATTACATGGTTATTTCTACTTACATTATGGGGCTTACACAAATCTCAGACACACAGACACAGAACAGAGATACACAGAACAACACGAAATTGAAACCTGCTGAAACTAAAGGAAATACAAACAGAACGAAAACAAAACAGCGCCCCCTATTTTCAGGCAAATCTCTACCTTTTTTTTTTTTTCTTTTTTAATACCGAACAAACGGTTTTCAACCGAGTATAGTTTAGAATCCGTCCCGTGTACTCATCGATCTCTTCTGTGAATTTGGCGCTATTTGGATCCAAACTGACGGAGCCTTTCATTAACATACATACATACAACATTCGCCAAATTATAGTAAGATGGGAGAGATTTGCACGTCTTATTTTGGAGCACGCCAGTCGACCTACTTTCGAGCCACGCCACTTTTTGGCAAAAATGAAAATGGCCATCTAGATTCATTCGATTTTTAGCTCATCTGACATAGTCAGATGCAGCTTGTAGAATCGCATGAGCGTGCGTCCGTCCGTCCGTCCGTGCGTCCGTCCGTGCGTCCGTCAACAGTTGGGCACAAATCTAAACGGCTCGACGTACGGATTCGAAAGTCGGAACGTGGGGGCGTAATCTGAAAACGAGTTGGGATGTCGAAGCTGGGGGTCAAAGGTCAAAGGT